GATAAACTGTAGGAGTTCCGTATTCTTGGCTCATAATATTTTCGGTACCTAAATATAGTCTTTGGGTATTCCGATTTAAAGAATAATTCTTCGTCCCAAAGGAGGTTTAAACCCGGTACAAGGGAACCAATCTTTTGTGTTACCACTAGGCCACATTTGTTCAGAACGGGTTTTAAATGGAAAATAAAAAACCATCTAAAACTGAAGGAAAGAAAAATATACACTGTCATATTTTCAGAGTCTTTTTTGTGATGGAACACCATCGATAAGCTGTGGTGAATCCATTTATAATTTATGGTAATTTTTTATTGCAATCATTAATTTAAATAGATTAAAATGTACTAGGATAAGAAGGAATTGTTCGTATGGTGAATCCATAAATAATTTTTATAAATTTTACTAAATCTAGTATTTTCAATTGAATTGTAGAATCTTATTATAGTGTCATCTAATCTTTTTATAGCTTTGGCTATTAAAAAAAAAACATACTAGGATAAGAAGGAATTGTTCTTAAGGTTTGACAAAAAAATTGTAAAGTAACCAATGGGTGGTGGGCTAGTGGTTCCCACTAAAAGAAGAAATGGCTCTGTGGATTTAGACTAAAGTTTAATTCTCCTCAAACGTAGAATTATCTAACTACTCCCACTTGGCCAGTTGAAGTGGTGCCACGCTTTAAACTTATTAGAAAACCTGGTGAATGCACTACTCGACGGCTGGCTACACTCACCCTGGAGAATTAGTTGGATCGTAAAAGCCCGGATCATCCCTTGTTTATCAAAAAAAAAAAAACAGTAAAGTAATGTTTTTAAAGAAAAAAGTGGTTTAAGACATATTTTAGAAAAGAAAATTTGCTATAACATGAACTTAAGAGTGAACATAAGAACATAAAACATGAACATACAAGCATAGAAACTAAGATCATAAATTTTAGGGGATGCAAATCCAATAAATTAATTCAATTTTCATAACCAAATTCTATCTAGTTTACCGGGGTCAATTCACACCCTCTACTTATAATGTGGATTCGCGACTAAAGACTTTCAGATAAAAAGCATACACTAAAAGAATAGGAATCACATTAAAAACTTTCAAAGTTATATATTTCATACTTTAAACCTCAAAACTATTTGATCAGTATTTTAAACATTTGAACTGAAACTAAAACAAAACTTCTAAAATGACTTCGTAGTACACGATGTCATAAATTTAACGGAATTGTAAACTTTATTTATTTGTTATTTTTTTGGTCGAAATTGTAAACTTTCTGTTTAAAGTAAAGCTAATAATGTTGTTTAACTTTTATTTCAATAAATAAATATTAATTTCAATTATTATATTATTATTTATTACAACTACTACAGTACAAAAAATCCC